ATCTTGATCGCAGGTAAGTTTGTCAAGCTCCTCCTCACTGACGGAAGAATCAACGTGGCTCTCTATTGAAAATTGTTCGATTTGGCCCCGCAGGAAATCGGACACATTCCAAAAGAAAGAAGTTGTTGACAAGGAGATGTTAAAGTCCTGTATTTGGGACGCAAAACTGGAGAACGAGTTCACCAGAGCCAGGAGACAGGGTGCTGGAAGCAAAGAAAGGAAATCAGACGCGACAAGGTGTAAAGACTTGTAGGCAGCTCGGACCAGACGTGGGCCGCCTGGAAGAGCAGACCTTCTGCGTTCAGTCGACATAGCAAGCTGGGTACTACTTCCTGTCGCGGGAACACCCTGGAATACGCCAGATATCAGGTCAAAGATGAGACTCCAGCCATCCACGAGCGTCTCTGCGTATTGTTCCAGGATGTTGTGGAGTATCTCCAGACTCTGTTCATGGATCTCAATCACAGTGATTGGAAGCGACTTTGCGGTCACTTGATCCGAGGAATACAGCGTTGTTACCTGATCCTTGAGCGTCTGCAGGTTTCTTGTCTGTATTCTGTTTCTAGTCTGATCATCATCCGCTTCCCTTGGCTTCATTGTCAAATAGATCAACGAATTGAGAATACTGCTAGCCTGCAGGCGGAGGTTAGGGCTGATCGCAGTGTTCGCAGACGTCGCAATTAGACTTCCACTCAGAAGTTGCCACGCCGTAATGTTCTCTTCATCAAGCGAAGAAAACCTGTCGAGATTCGCCCGAGCCAGCTCATTCCCCTTCTCGAGTACAAACTTTAGCTCCTCATCCTGCATTCTGGATTTACCGACGGTGTGCGAGACACGACGAGCGTTTTGGTGCATTCGTCCAGCATTCCGCGAAGAATGAGGGGATTGTGGTGGTTCGGACACCTCTGGGGCTGATTCCTGTGTGGTCTTTTGCTCGGTGAATGCAGAAAGATTCAACAACGCAAGCAATATTTCTTGAAAAGATGCGCTAGGATAGTCACTGGTGCTTTCAAACATTTTCGCGGAGGCCGTCTGCACTGCAATCACTTCCGCTCCAAGGTTTGCCGTCGGGATATCATTGCCAGAAATGACTGTGCTTTCGCCCGTGCCACTAGCCGATTTCACCATCGTACTGGAAGATATGCCGATGACCAGCCCAGCGTATTGGAGTGTTTCAAGCAGAATAGACCAGGCCGGCTGATCCAATGTTGGTCCCAACGCGATTCCTAGATTGAGCAAAGCCCGCAGGCACAATAGGTTTCTTGTGCTCAAGGAAACCGAAGAGGCTTCAACGGATGACGAACCAGCCGAATCTCTGGGCACGGAATTCGATCGAGGTATATCCGAGCTCTTGCGATACTTTTGAGGGGTATCTTCGGATAGTGGGCCGCCCAGAGAGGGCGTGGCAGGGCTTTGAGATTTCAAGCCGCTTGTCCCGGCCGGAATTGCAGCCTTCCCGAGAGTTGTGAGAAATGCATCTCGAGGTACAGAGAGCCTTAAGAGACCCGCTACATGGGCCAACTTCTGGAAAGCGCGAACAAGGTTGTGGTAGTATTCGTCGTCTAGTGAAGCGTGCAAGAAAGTCGAGCAAGCTGCGAGAACAGCAGGCCAGCAGTCTTCAATTATTCCAGCACAGATCGTGATGGCCGAATATTGAACATGAGATTGCAGATCCAAAGGGTTGATCGGGACGGATGACTTTTTGAATGGCGACGCCGCCTGTGCGCGCAAGACATCCGGTGATTGAGGATCTTGGGAGGAGCGAGCAGAATCATTTGCCTGATCAAAACTCATGATCCTGTTTTTCTTCTTGGATTTCACATCCGGAACGGTAAGTGGTAGGATGAACTTGGCAAGTCCCTCTGCAAAGCTGCTGATGCAGTTGAGAACAAGGCTGTAGATGTAAGTCTCCGGGGGTAGCGGCGGGTCGGCTTTATCGAGGAGTTCGATGTAGGGTGTCCGCACCACACTCCACTGGCTGCTGATACCAGGCACCTTACTTTCAGCAGAAGGACCAGAAGATCCAATCACACCAGCAACGCCACCAGTCTCGAGAGCAATCTGATCTTCTGTTGCGGATCTTGTATGCTCTGCCCGGAGCGGTATGGTTGACTGATTGCTGACTCCAATCAAAGATGGCTTTTCAGAGGCCAGGCGGACAAGAGAAGCCATATGGTCCCTAAGGACATTCTTCCTCTTCGCGTCTCCGTCATACAATGAGTAGATCAGCCGAACGACTCCAGGCTCAGCGTAGAGGCCACGGAAAACCTCCATGCATAACACTCGCTTCCATGGCGCATTCCCGTCAGGCTCAAGCAGATGAGTTAACAGACCAAGCGCCATCTCACACTCCGCAGTCAGGAGAGACATATGGCGTTTCAAAAGCACGAGTAGAATCCGAGCAACGCGGACAGTCTGAGAGAATGGATGCCTTTCGGAAAGGTATCGTACTGTGAGTGGCATCAGACGAACCCGCAAGACTTGTAATAGTTCTGGGTGTCCCACAAATAGGCGGCCACTATTAACTATAATGCTTTCTATGAGCTCCAAAACAAAAGTGGGAGACAAAGTTCTCGTGCGCAAAAACTGCAATTGCTCTCCATCGATGAGGCGACAGAGATCATCCAAGACCTATATAGAAACGGTCAATATCACGGACCAGTTATCAGATAATGAAATCTGACCTGCAGAGCGTCATATGCGAATTGGGCCACCTCCACTGGATGGCCATCAACCTTCACGGTCGTGAAGGATTTAGCATCATTTGGCAGCTCTTTTGTTACAAAAATTAGACCCGGCCGTCAATCCATTTTTGAAGCGATTCTCCACGTACTGTCTTCATTGTATACCCTTTCAAAAGTGGAAACCACCAGCTGCTGCAGGGTAGCAGCCGCAGTGCTGCTCACTGCAAGAGTCTTGCTGGCTTGCAAAGTTGCACAAATCTCCAATGTATTTGCCAGCAAGTCACCGCTCAAATCATTAGAATAGAATTGCAGAAGCGAAGGCAAAGATTGCAAGATTTTCAATTGGATGTCAAGGCCTATTAGATATTAGCAAACGCGTGTACATTGTTGTACCTGGTCAGCTGTAACATACTTAAGCCAGTCGTCTCTTTTAAGCCTGCAAGAACATGTTTCAGACGATGAGAAGGTAATGACCGAGATGCAATCAGTCGTTGCAGGCAAATCACGCCGATTCCCGCAAGTTTCGCGTGCCGCGTATGACACGCGATAATGAACGGCTCGACGAATGCCGGTTTACGCACGAGGTCTGGTTCAATCATTAGCTGACAAGTTACTGAATTGCAGGCTTCAGAGTCTTACCTGCCGAGATCTGTGCTTCGGACGTTGAAGGTAGAGCCTTTAGCTCGTTAAGGGACTGCTCGGCTGCCTAGATCTTCCAATCAATGTGTCGTCAGGGCAATGTCCGAGAGGTGATGAACTCACAGTTCGGAGGTCGGCATTTTTTCTTCGAGACTCCTGGATGAGACTGGCGAGCTCGGTTTGCAAGAATTGGGAGGACATTTCCAATGTAAAGCGGCTACATTCACCGCATGGCCGATGTTGTCCCAGTGGCCGAATGTCCGATAGTCGACAATCAGTAAGGCCTTGACCGAAAGTATTTGAGCTGGCCTGCTACGTTGTAGACCAGATTCAGCGGAGCTTCTAGCCAAATGCTATGCAGATTCAGCCACTCCAAGCGTTGTATTTGGTCTCGAGTCTTGCGAATCAGTTGCGCAATCAACAACCCCGGGCGTGGCATCTCGAGCGCCAAGGCTATCGATAAGGTCTCTATCGCACGTGACTAGCGGTCATCGATTCAGCAGCCGCGGGCGGCAGAGAAGTGCCCCTCCATCCAATCCTCACGATTCACTCCGTCACCTTCGTGCTGTCACTAGATCCTAATTGATCACACCGACATTGATTACAAAATGGCTGCCACCGTTCCGCGAAACTTCCGCCTCCTGGAGGAGCTCGAGAAAGGGGAGAAAGGATTGGGTGCAGGTACGAGCGTCCTGGTCCTCGAGAGCATCCAATCAACCACTAACTAATTATGGCTTTAATTGCAGAGGCTTGCTCCTACGGCCTTGCTGATGGCGAGGACATGATGATGAGTAATTGGAATGGAACCATTCTGGGTCCCCCTCATGTTTGTCTACCCTGAATCCATGCACCGAGTGTCGTGTGCCCTTGTCTACTTGGCTAATCAACTCTGGTACTAGAGCGTCCACGAGAACCGGATATACAGTGTCAACATCCACTGCGGACCCGATTATCCCGATAACCCTCCCACTATTCAGTTCGTCTCTCGCGTCAACATTCCTTGTGTTGATCAGCAAACAGGCAAGGTACGAGCCGAAACAATACCCAAGGAACAGGCCAGGAAACTAAATTAGTGATATCATAGGTGGATCCCTCCAAAGTCCCATGTCTAGCTCAATGGAAGCGGAGCTATACCATGGAGACCGTCTTGATCGAGCTGCGGAGGTGAGAAACAGACTATGGACTCAACATTCTGGCTTACATCACACTGACTGCCTATCTAGATACATGGCTTTGCCCCAGCACAAGAAGATCGCACAGCCCCCAGAGGGTTCGACTTTCTAAGGCCTGCATTTCACCCATAGGGTCACGAAGGAATACGGAGTTCCAGGGTCTTCTCTTTGGTGTTCCTTCGCATTGTCTTTCCTCTTTCTATGATTATCTTTTCAAGCGTGTATAGTGTATGCATGGCAGTATGGCGCGGTTTCTCTGAAGCCAAATTCAATTCGTTCATAACGTATTTTCAATCATGTTGTGATTCGTAACCTTGGGCTTTTAACATTGCAGCACTCGGTAATGTGATCACAGCCTTTCACACTGAAAAGCATTTGGCTAAACACTGTTTTTCTAAACAACCACGATGATCCAGAAACTGGGCTTCAGATCTACCCTAGTGGCCTCGTTGTGTAACATTAACATTACCCGGCTTAGTTTTCTATTGACCAAACACTATTTTTATCATTGAGAGTCATCAAGTTTTCATTGTTGCTATCTGTCTTGTTTTTCTAGCTTCTTTGTCTATACATCCATACCGATCACGTGATGTGTTTCCTCATTCGATCGGACGCCGAGAGCTCCTGCAATTTCTCGAGTCCGCTCTCGAGTACTCGAGATCACGGAATGCATAAGGTCTTAGTACCAAGTCGCTCTGGGGTCCATCGCTTTGCTTGTGAGGTTACCCGCTCCTCTGAGTTTCGGGCTCGCGCTAACTCTATGATACCCTGCAGGTTTGGCGCTTTATCGGGCCCTTCTCCGACAATGTTCTCCATCCGCCGCCGGTGATGCGTCTTGGCGCGGAGAGACCAAATTTCTCGTCCAGCAAAGGTTCCGAAGATACAAAGGGCTACAAAGTCCCTCTCAGGTTGCAAATGCACTGAAAGCAGGATACGAGGTGCGCATGGGCAATGGCCATACAAGCAACCGCAAATACTGATATGGACATACTTCGACATAGGCTGTGGATCTGCTTGACCGCACGTCAAAAGGAAGCCCGCCGGACTCCCAAAAGCTCACAACGATACTTTTCCAGGCAAATTCTTTCAAGGAGCAGTATGCCGCTGAGCAAAGAAGGATGGCGGCGTTGATCCCGCCGAAGCCGCTATCGCCGAGGCAATTCCGAAAGGAACAGACTATACGATTCGAGCAAGAAACCTCCCGTAAGCACCCAGATGCTTCGTCGATTCTGGATCGCCCGCGACTATCTTTAAGCGGGAAACGAAAGGTGCCAGTTCTGGTAAATGCGCGCGGGGTGCCTTTCTTGCGAATCAAGAAACCTCAGCCAAGGAATCTGAGTGGTGTCATACGAAGCAGGCTCGAAAAGCGGTGGAACCGCATTGTGACCCGCGACAGGCTACATGTGGAGCTTCTCTTTGCCAATGATGAGGATGCATGGGATCGTCTCACGAGAGGCGCAGAACAGCCCACATGGACCAAGGAGGTCAAGCTTGCTCTGGACAACGTGTATGAGAAGATTCGGGAAACAGACAAAAAAAACCGCGAGTTGGCTGAAGGTATGTGGAACATCGTGCTTGAAGAGAGAGAATTGGCCAAGAAAGAAGACGAGCAGAGACATCTGGAGCAGTTGGCCTTGCAGGATAAGAGTACTTAACCTCTGTCACTGGTGTTGATCGTTTGCAAGCCCATTCCACATGCACTCAGTGGCCTGCTGTGTAAATCTCTCAATGTGCTCTCGGCTTGGGGCTTGATCGGTTGTTTATCGGGATATATCCCGGGTTTGTATAATAGACATGTTTCAATAATGATACCCCCAATTTTACTGATCGTTCGGACTTGGAGCATGCCTTTCTGTGAACGAATGAGAGGGCAGTGGACCTGGCTCAATTCGGTTGCTCATTATGGTAGAGAAATCAGATATTCTTCATATCATCGTAGACTCGTTTTGTGCTATGCACATAAGACTCCAGAGACACGTGGATCGTGTGAAACAGAACTATCAAATACACCGGCCGTGCGAAAGATGTCGCAATCACATCATGCAGTAACCTTGAGCTTGTCCACAGCAGGCATAGCATCCTCCTCCTCTTCGTCATAATCGGCCTTGCCCGCGAGACCACGCTCCCATAGCTCTCGCCCCGTAAGCTTCTTCTCTTCCTTGTTGGTCTTTTTCTTCTTTTCCTCTGCCTCCTTCTCCTCACGCTGCCGTTGCTCTTCTTCGTCTGCCTCTTTTTTGAAATCGTCAAGCCATTTCTGGAATGTCTCTCTGTTGACTGGTGTGCCACGGAATTTCCGGTTCTCTTCCTCCTCTGCTTTCTGAGCCACGAGCGCCTTCTCTTCTTCAACGGCCTGGACGCGGTCCACCATCAACTGCTCTGCAGCCTCCTTCAACGCGCTGACGAGTGAGAAGACCATTGCCATTCCCATGTTCTCTTCGATTGCATTGTTCAGCGCACTCGTTAGGACGTCTTCATCTTCTGGGAGTTCGATAAGAGGGTGCTTCGGGGCATTAGGAACTGGTGTAATCTTGAGCTCCGGGGCGACATCGGGATAGTCTTCCGGGTATGAGACTTCCAGGTAGATCACAGGTTGCTCGGTCTCGGGGCCATTCTCGGGAGGGTCGAGCGTTATCGAGATCTTGTATGAAGTTTCGGATATATCTGATAGCGAGCATGTTTAGCAACTATGCAATCCCCTGACCGTACATAATATTGAAATTCAAAGAGATGTAGCTGTACCTGTAATCTCATCGGGGAAAATCGAGTCGAGGACCTCGCGTTCCTCAATTTGGTCTTCGCGGCCCATTGCGTCTGATCCGCCCGCGGATTGGAGGGGTAGTAAATATGGTGGCCGACTGATAGGGAGGGAAGGATTCCGCGTCAAAAAGAGTGTTTCTTAACGGAAGACTATTATGAGCAGTCAAGGCTCTCGAGGGTGTATTCGTATAAAGAAGATTAGGTCTTTCAGTCAACTAATCGCATCGCATTTGCTTCGACGGTGGTAAATGCCAATCTTGCGGTCCCGCATGCAAACCTGTCAAACAGCTCCAATTTTTGGGCCGAAGCTTCAACTTTTTTACTTCGAGTCCCCCGTTACTGAACACTAATAATTCTTTTCGTTTTGCATAAGACACGTTTATTACTCTCTTTCTTTGATTCAAAATAGACCTGCCATGGGAAAACCCAGACCGCAAAAGAAGAAGTCATCCAAGTCCCGCACAAAGTCCGTCCTCGGCCCTGGTGGCTCGATCTCGAAACCCAAAATGTCCCAAGACCCCTCCACGTTACTCGACCAGGCCACCATCCTCCTCCAGACGGGTCGAGCAGACGAGGCCCTGCCTACAGCACAGCAGGCATTAGATCTATCCTCCGACAATGCGACCGTACAACTTCAGGCCGTGAACCTTCTGGGAGAAATCAACGTTGAGCTCGGCGAGATCGAGACTGCTCGGGAATACTTCTTGCGCGCCGTCGAGCAGGATTCCAATGGCTCAATACCGGAGTCGCAAGGCGGTGGCGCCGAGAAGTTTATGTGGCTCGCTCAATTGAGCGAGCAGGGTGGTACGGACAGTGTCCAGTGGTTCGAGAAGGGTGTCTCGTCTCTCAGACAGACCCTTCAGTCCCTGGAAGGAAAGACGGGCACCGAGGAGATCGCTTTGGCTGAGGAGAAGAAAGTGAAGTTGTCCAATGCGCTTTGCGCCGTTGCAGAGATCTATATGACTGACCTTTCGTGAGTCTCATGGTCCAACGCAATCACAGAGGTTCTACTGCTGACAATTTAATGACAGCTGGGAGGAAGACGCCGAGGCTCGATGTGAGGCGCTTATCACAGACGCCCTCACTTTTACGCCCGAGGCACCAGAAGTTTTGCAGACTTTCGCGTCCATCCGGATATCACAGCTGAAGACTGAGGAAGCTCAGGAGGCACTCAAGCGAAGCATTAGCCTATGGAAGGATCTGGCTCCCGAAGACCCTAAAGTGCCTGACTTTGCGGTACGCATCAGTCTCGCACGTCTTCTCATGGAGGTCACGCTGGAGTTTGAGGCTCTGGAAGTTCTCGAGCGTCTGATTCTCGAGGACGACCAGAGTGTGGAGGCGTGGTATCTCGGCGGCTGGTGTCTCTATCTTCTGGCGGAGAAGCAACAAGCACCCAAAGATATCACCGAAGACGAGGCCGCTGAGTCGCCGCGACACGCGTCTTTGCTTGCCAGTCGGGAATGGCTCAAGCAAAGCTTGAAGCTTTACGATCTACTGGAATACGAGGACGAGCCCCTCCAAGCTCACGCCCTGGAACTAATTCAGGGGATGGTTGCCGAAATTGGAGAAGATATGGAAGATAGTGAGGCTGAGGGCGAGGATGGGGGTGAAGACTGGGATGAGGAAATTGAGGCGGACTCTGATGACGAAGATCACGAAATGGCCGATTCATAGATACAATCAAACAGTGATGATTTTACGCTTGTACAGATCTTGTTCTTTCCTTTGTCTTTTCTTTGTTGATACCACGAGCAAAAAAGTCTGCCCATCCCATAGATCCTTACTTTCTTCCACCAACCATTTCTCACTCCTGCTCGCCACTGAACCGCCTCGGCTCCGGATTAACTTCTTCCGGACGCTGCAAATCCCGAATTTTTGTCGACGTTCACTGCGAGAAGAGTCGTCGAGGCTGTCAAAACTCCTGCAGGATGGACTTGGTACCAGCACCGAGCGGGAAGACCCCGGTGAAGTCTCCTGTGGTCGAAGTGGAGGCCGTAGAGGCCGTGGACGTCGCGGAGCAAGACGAAGCGGAGATGGTCGCGCTGGAAGAGGCATCATCCGAGTTTGAAACAGATAGTGATGATTCAGAGGACTGGGACACTCTGTCTCACGGTGGGGATACAATTCAGTTTCTGCGCGATGAGCAGCTACGTGATGGACTAGGTATGGATCCGTGCCTGAGATCTTATATCGCGCCCCCTTTACCCCAGTTTTCCCCGCGATCGAGCACCCTACCACAACACGTTTGGCTAACATGACGGCGCACTGTAGTTCCCGGTGCTTGTACCCTAGACGAAGCCGTGGCCTTTCGCCAGCGCCTTCATGATATCGGCAAGGCCGCCTTTGTGGAAGAGACTATTGCGCGGGAGACCGTGACGGCGAAGAAGCTCTGTACGGCGTTTGGAATCATGCCACCGGCCTTCCTCGAGGGCGCGCCGGACGAGTCCTATCATCCGCTGCTTGCAATCGCTTTGTCACGAGAGTTCGCTCGGCGACCAAAGCTTCCTCAACACAACACCATCGAAGACGCTGTGCGGCTCTTGCAGGAGTCCAAGAATATCGTCGTGTTGACTGGCGCGGGTGTATGTCTTCCATTCTCGTACAAGTCCCGCTCCAAGACTAATTAAGACTCTATATAGATTTCAACAAGCCTCGGAATCCCTGATTTCCGTTCAAAAGATACCGGTCTCTATTCGAAATTGGAGCATCTGGGTTTGAGCGACCCTCAGGAGGTCTTTGACATCCACGTCTTCCGAGAGGACCCTAGCATCTTCTTCTCGATTGCCAAGGACATCCTTCCGACGGAAAAGAAATTCTCTCCGACTCACGGATTCATCAAGCTTCTGCAGGACAAGGGCAAGTTGTTGACCAACTATACCCAGAACATCGACAATATCGAGGCCAATGCGGGGGTCCTACCAGAGAAACTTGTACAGTGCCATGGTTCTTTCGCCACTGCAACTTGTGTCAAGTGCGGCTTCAAGGTCCTCGGCGATGCGATTTTCAGTGATATCAGAGATAGCAAAATACCAGAGTGCACAGCTTGTCATGAGGCGATTGCTCAGGATGCGCTGAAACCACAAGGGATGAAGCGGAAACGCAGCTCTATGGGACAGCACAAGGATCGTAAGGACGAGTTTGAAGATAGCTCAGATGAGGATGACTATGAAATTCCAACTCCTGGTGTGATGAAGGTATGTGGTGATTCCCTGATATCGCAAATGTCAATTGACCCGTGCTAACCTCCCTATGAATAGCCTGACATCACCTTCTTTGGCGAGGATCTTCCCGACGAGTTCGGCCAGCGCCTGATTCATCACGACCGAGAACTGGTAGATCTAGTCATCGTCATCGGGACTTCGCTCAAGGTAGCCCCCGTTGCAGAAGTGCCGGGCATTCTGCCCCGTCATGTCCCACAGATCTATATCTCACGCACAGTAAGTTGGCCCCCTCAAATTCATCTATCGCGACTAATTTTGATTCGTTCTATAGCCTGTGTCCCACACGGGATTCGATATTGATCTCTTGGGCGATTGCGACGTGGTTGTTTCGGAGCTCTGCCGCCGGGCCGGCTGGAACTTACAGCACCACATGATACCCGCAGATGAGGTTGTAGAGGTTACTCCCCTCGAGGGACACGAATCACGACATGTCTTTAAGGTTGTTGGCGCATAGCGGTGGAGTTTTGGGAAATGGGTTCTGCGAGGGGAACGGCGTCACTTGGAATCATCCTTACTTAGGGGTGTGATTTCTGTATTTGCTTTTGGTTCCTGGCCCGCGGCATTCTATGTATAGATTTGATTTTGTGATTCCTGAATACCATTGAGTTGCCACAGAGAATTTGGTGGTTTGTTTCCCCTGTTTTGTAGGTACATGCTATTTTAGGGTTAGGCTCAGGATGTGATTCGCCGGAAAGATATATCTTTGCGAGGCCTGCAAAGAAATGACACATTCAGGTCCTGGAAATAGAAAACCTGCTTTAATTCATCTTTGAAATAGTTTGAGAATATACCTCCACCTACGTAAAGCTACATTAGTCAAAAAAATAGCATGCTAGTTCGTTGGCTGTTGTCGTGTTTTAACCGGCGACCCAAAGACTGACGGAAAAAACTTCAACTCCCGTCCGTCCACTTGTAAAACCCCCCACCAAAATCGAACGACATCCAGTACGAGGACGCCACGATCAGCCTCCAACGATCAGTTGATTCTCAGAAAGAATAAAAAGGGAGAAAAAGAAAACTATCAGTTCTCAAGTTCTCCATCATGGAGTATCTTGTGCGACTGGCCCAGTGCCATGAGACATTTCGACGGCCGGAGCTCCAGGCTGTGGCTACACTGCTCGGCATCGACATGGAAATTATTGCTTACAACGAATTTGTAAGTGCATTTCCAATCGAGGAATTTGCATTTCATTGAACATTATTACATTCGCTACTTTCCTATATATTGATCACCCTTGCATGCCTCGATCCCACTAACAGAAGCCCTCTAGACGCCATTCTGTGTGGTGAAATTGAAAGACGAAGCAGCGGCTCGTGCATTGATATCGCGCAGTATCCTAGCCAAGGACATCCTGGAGCTGTGGGGAAAGGGTACTACTTATGAAGAATTACATGCCGATGTCCAGCGGCGCACGCAGCACCGATGGGCAGACTATCACAAAGTCACGTACGCCCTTGCCGTCGATTGCTTCGCGGGCAAACGGAGCACAGCCAAGAAAACGGAAATTTTCGCATCCTTCGCCTACTTGAATCTTAGAGGCGAGGTGCGGCTAAAAAACCCGGAAGAGCAATTCCGGGTCGTCGAAGACTACGTGACAGACGTCGAGGAGAATGCCATCGGTACGAAGAGATCATCCGAACCGCGGATGATATACTTGGGACGCTGGCTTGCAAAAAGTACTCGCGACATTATCCTGACTCACAATCTTAAGAAGCGCAAGTACATTAGTACTACGTCCATGGATGCAGAGCTGTCATTGGTCACGGCCAATATGGCTCTTGCAGCTCCCGGAAAGGTCTTCTTCGATCCCTTTGTTGGAGCTGGAAGCTTTCTGGTGGCTGCCTCGCACTTTGGTGCTCTGACGATGGGCTCTGATATTGACCCTCGAGCGTTCCGTGGCAAGGATCACGAGCGTAAGAATGGGATGGCAATGCTGCAGAATTTCAAGCAGTATAACATTGTGAGTCAGTTCCTCGATGCATTCACATCAGATGTCACGAATACACCTTTACGAGACACCGCGTTGCTGGATGGTATCATCTGCGATCCTCCGTACGGTGTTCGTGAGGGCCTTCGGGTTCTGGGAACTCGTGATGGAAAGGTTATTGAGCCGGTCGTCATTGACGGGGTCCTTGCCCACTAGTACGTTCCATAACCTTGTCAAAATACTCAGAGAAATTATTTATCTGACCTCCATTTACAGCCGAAAGGGGTATATCCCACCGAAAAGACCATACGGATTTGAAGCCCTGCAAAGGGATATCCTTGAGTTTGCAGTTCGCAGACTCGTCCCTAACGGACGGTTGGCGATGTGGATGCCCACAGCTAGCGACGAGGCTGTCGAATTCCCGGTGCCTATGCATCCCAATCTAGAAGTCATCAGTGTTTGTGTTCAGCCTTTCACTAATTGTGAGTAAAGCCCCGCCCTTAAGCCCCGCCCATGGAGGGATTCACGCAGTGGAAGCTGACCCATGTTTCCTAGGGTCCCGCCGGTTGATGATTTACCGTCGTCTGCCAGAAGGAGAGACTTCCGATGTCACATACGCAAGAAGGAAGACGGACGGCGAGGGTGTATCTGCTGATGACCTCAATGCATTCCGGGTGAAGGTATGTACATTGTTGCAAGATTGCCATTACTCTACACAACTAACCATTCATTGCAGTACAACAATCGAAATGCCTCTAGATTAGAGGGAAAAGAAAAAGCAACGCAATGATGATGACTTTTCTCAGCTGGTGGTTTCCGGAAGAATGGAGCTGGCGGTCTGTTTCAGCGACAGACTGCTTTTATGCTGAGAAAAGGAAGGGTCAACAACACGCAGGACACCCTCACCACAGAAGAAGCAGAAGAGGAAGGATGGCAGAGGACTAGCCTCGTCTTCACAGTTTGCCTTTCTCCGTTGTGTGGCTGAGAACCACACCTTCTTTTTGTTGAATTCGCTTGATCTCAAGGTCCAGCTCAACCCTCATAGCACGGGCTAATGCAGCACCCTCGTCATCATCAAGCTCATGTCGCTGACCGCGACCGAACATAGCAAAGCTCGGTTTGTGAGCGAAGTCTGATGGCCGAGGGATGATGTGAAAGTGTACATGAGGTACTTGCTGTGCTGCTCGGGCGCCTATTTTTCTCAGTTAGTATAAATACTCATTGAACGCATTGGCAATATCCCGAGCCTGCTAGACTAGAGCATCTTTGCAGGTTGTATGAAGTTGTCCATAGATAGAACCATGCGGCTCCAAAGCCGACGGTCAAATTCAAAAGCATGTTCGATGTGTGGACCTGGATATGAGATCACCTACCATTATTCTGAACAACATTCCAATGTCTATCTGGGTCATCCCCGAAAATAGTCTTCGTCACGACCCTCGAAATAATCGGAAGCCACTTCCCCATCTACCACAAACACAAAGTTAGCATCATCGATTATCCCATACATAGAACCCATCCAAACAGTGTATATGGAGTGAAATGCGACTGCCAATGTAGACAAAACTTGATATCCCAGGTACACCAAGGATCGAATGGCACATACCTCCTGCCCAGCTGCGACACCCATATCACTCAGCTTCTCATAGTGCCTCCGTGGAGCAACAAGAACATGACCATTCGTTAACGGCATGATATCCAAAAAAGCAAGTACATGCTCCGTGGACAGAATTAGATGAGCAGTCCCCTCGGATGCTGAGTCGGAGGAGACTGAGCCGGACTCGGGATCATTGAAAGGGGCTGGCGGGTTCGATGCAGCGATGTTGCAGAATGGACATGGTGAAACATCGACAGTCATGATGAACTGTATAAGATGTATGTTGAGGTGGCTTGATAATCAATCGAGAACACTATCGTCGTCTTCGCAAGTACGGTGCTGTACTTGGTCATGCGTCCCTAGTAGGCCGAGATGTTCCCCGCAATGTATTTGGAGCCAACTGCGATGAGTATACCCAAGGAACGGCTAGCCCAAACGTATAAAGACGGCAGATTGAAAAGTTATAAGTAGGCACTCGTAGTAAACCTCGACAGTGGACTAACAGACTTGAATTCTGGCCCTTATAGGCTCGGGGGTGATACTGTCGATCGGATGTTCCCAGCGGGAGGGTCAAACCTCGGCTATTTCACAAAGGGCGTTAAGGCTGGCGCCAACCAAGACAATAATAAGACAAGGGTTCATTCAAACTGAGGACCTATTTTGCGTATCCGATCCAGAAGAGAAGACGCCTATGTACACCTCCCCCCAATTAAAACAGACGCGAGAATTGAAATTGAAGATCAGAATTGCATCCAAGGACCACGCCAAGCACCCAGCGCAGAACACAACTAATCTAAAAGAGACCCAAGAACGACCTTGACGCTGATTACCCCCTTCCAGACCCCTCCATCCAGAATCCGAGGAAGACTCGTCCATCCTCCAAAACATAAGCCTTCCAAATGAAGATAGACAGGAATCCTGTCAAGATCCAACCTCTTTTTGTTTCCATCAAAAAGGTCACTGTGATGGGCAGTCATCACCTGGTTGTCCGCAACGGAGAAAAGGAGACCCAAGAAACATAGACAAAATCCAAGGGTGGAAAGAATAAAGGTGATATTCCGATCTTGAGAAGAGCAGGAAAGAGAAGAAAAAAAAAGGGAAGATAAAAAGGGTCCGACGCCGGTCACCGGAACAGGAGGAAGGAAGAATGGCAAGGTATCAGGGCAGGCGAGAGAAGAGGCACCCCATGCAAACAAAGAAGCAGAACAAAGAAACCGCACAAGCCGAAGTTGAAACAGTACCACAGGGCTGAGCGCCGAACACCACCCGTCACAGAAGACAAATGCCCAAGCGCACAAATCGAATCATCGTTAAGAATATGCAAAGAGGTAGTCGATACCAGCACAATGAAATGCCAAAATATGGAGGAATTCGAAGATCCCTGGTCGGAGTGTCTCGAGGCCTTGGGATCGTCAGGAAGGACAACGACAATGCCGACACAGGGCTAGCATAACATCGTAAATGGCATCACTACTGTTCGCTGTCCTTGATGAAAGTGTACGGCTCCGTGGTGGAGCTCTCGATGTACATCTGGTGATACTTCTTGGCCCATTGACGGGTCAGGATGGAAGCTAGTCGAAGGAGTTAGCACTGTCGCATACGAAAAACATGGGGGCCAACGAGGGGGATGCATACCCTTCAAGAACTTCTTGCTGGCGTACTTCTTGAAGAAAGCTTCGTGAGAGACGGGGCGGTGGAGGTAGTCGATCATCAGGCGGAAAACGGGATCAATCTCCTTCTCGGTGTATCCGGCGTAGTGAGCCAGAGTGGCATCCCAGGGGCCGCGCTCCAGAATCAGACGGGCCAGGTACATGGCAGCGGCAGCGATGTGGCTCTGAGGGTAGGTCATGAAACGGTGGTCGAGCAGGCTGATCTCCATGAGATACTTGCCCAGGGTGCGGGTCTGAATGTCGTAGTTATCCGCCTTGGAGATGCGACGCAGGAAGTTCATAGGGTTTGGGAAGCTCATGTTGTACTCCAGGGTGGCGAGGACGTGGCGCTCGGCATCAAGGATCTCCTTGTCGGAGAAAGTCTCATCGGCGACGTGGCTGAAGTTGGCAACGTGGGGAGAGAGGACCTCCTCATATTTGGAGGCAATGAACATGGCAGTGACACCGACAAGCTGAAGACGATCCAGGGCAACAACCTCAGCGGAGAGGAAACGATCGATAATGTTGACAGCGAGGAACAGGGTCTCGGGAAGCAGGCGGAAGCGAGTGTGAACCTCAATCAACCAGTCGACAAGGATTCCGCGCATCTTCCATTCCAGATCAGGTTGGTGCTCGATGTACTGAGGGTTGGGCAGGGTCGTCATCTCCAGGTCGCGCAGATAGTCGAAGATCTCCACAACGTATTCGGCAGCCATCAAAGGATCGTCGAGGTCCTCAGTATCCAGGTCCAGCACGTCGGGACCCAAGCCAGCAGCCGGCTCAACGACATCGTCAACTTCATCCTTGATCTTCGTCGGGGGCTCAATCTTCGGTAACTTGCGAGGGGGCTCCTGATCGACCTTCTCGACCTTCGGGGGACGCTTGTTCGCGGGCTTCTTTGGGTTGGGATCGCGAGGCTGCAAAGCAGTAGTACGTGATGAGTTGTTGCGGCTGAGCTTTTGGACACCACCAGTCTGGGTGGTTGCCTTGGAGGTCAGACCGGCCTTGCCGGCGACGGCCTTCTTTGCACCCTTAATCTCCGCAGCGTCGGCCTTGTTGACATTGCTGACGTCCCCCAGAGCGGCACGGGGGCGCTGAATACCGGTGGTGGCAGCAGCCCGCTTAGTCTGAAGAGGCTTCTTGACAGCATCGGTAGGACCGTCAGTGCTGAGGGCGGCCTTGGCCCGCGTCATACGCGTGGAAGGCCCGTTCTCATCGTTCTCATTCATGGTGCCTCGGGAACGGAGGCTACGGGCCTGTAAAAGTGTTAATATTTTGGCTGCAGGTGTAGCTTTTGACGCGTCGAGAGCTTAATGGCAGAACAAAGAAATGTCCTGCAAAGCAATTGGCTCAAGCTGTCAAGGGCAGGAAGTGCTTACCACAGGCATGGTGGTAGTCTCAAGAGAGAGGAAGGGGAAAGGAGAGCGCGATGGGAGAAAGGGAAAGGGCGAGGCAGATAGTCTACACCAAGTCGGGTCACTCAGGTCAGCATTCCGTTCGACATTACCTCAGTGGGGAACCTCCAAATACCAGAGGTAATCAAGGTCGAAGTGCACGTACCACGCGTGAAAATGTAGGTACCCTGAGGAAGCTACACTCGCCAGAAAGCAATGCGTAGCAGCTGCTCAGAGGAGTTGGGATGGGATGAGTCGCGGGTCACGACACATGCAAGACGATGTTGATATTAAAAAGACTCGCGAAGCCTCTGCGAGTCGAAGTCGAAAAACGCGCGTGAAGAGAAGATTAAAGGGTGGAGAGATATTTGAATGACACGTCGGGTCCTTTTAGAAAGATATGACCCAAGGATGGGGGGAGGTGGGAGGGGGGGAAGGGTATCTTGAAATGGAATGATGATGATGAGGGAAAAGGAAGAAGTCGAAAGAGGGCCAAGCGATGTTTGGCCCTACTGTGCTAGCGTGGAAAACCGGTCAAACTGGGATGACGCCCCACACAGCGAGTCGCGACGGGTCTCTTGACACTTCTTTTCCGCCTCGTATTAAGACGAGATAGAGATGCTTAGGGAGAGAATTGTTGGGGGTAGTGTACAGAATAGATTAGAGGAATTTAAGATCTGGAGAAATCCAGATCGGAGGATTTGGGGGCAATAGAGGATAGGGAGGTGGTAGATCCAGAAATGAAGGGGAGGGGTGGTTGGTAGGGGCGGTATTGAGTATTGAGGGTTGGTAGTGACGGTAACGGTGGATACGCGAGGGCGCGGACGAAACGTGAGGCGCGGATATCAACAACTCTGTTTCCCCCGCAACCACATGTCACGTGTCGATCACGGGACCCGACACCACAATCGGCGGTTTCTGTGAGCCTCCTGCGCCACATATACCCGTGGCGGTGCTAACCCGGGCGAGGCTACGAAGGGCGGTCAAGACAAGATCACCTGATTTGGCACCCAGAACTTTTTGCCCTGGCCATCAGTTCCAGCAAGCCAGCCAGAAGACCGACGAGCGGAGAGCGTATCGAGAGCCCTACTTGCAATTGGGTCTCGGTTCCTGGATTTTGCGGTGAGAATCAAAATTTGTTCTCATCGATTCGCCTACAATCTAGTGGCTAGCCCTCCGACCAACCATGCTCCAACCCCGACTTGCCCTCCAGGGCATTCGGCTGCCCTTTAGGTGTTTACCTACGATCCCAACTCTTCCTGTGCGCCGTTTCGCGACCGTCGTCAATGAGCTAGAGACGCCGGCCAGCAAGGCTACTCCTCCTGCATCCGACTTCAGCGCCTCTTTTGCTCCTCCTCCCACCCGCGACGACTCCGGAGTCCAGCTTCGCACATACACTCCTCGTACCCCCGGTGTACGACACTTGCGGCGGCCAGTCAATGACCACCTCTGGAAAGGCCGTCCCATCCACCGATTGACTTTCCCCAAGCGGGGTCACGCCAAGGGTGGTCGTAATAATAGCGGTCGCGTCACAGTCCGCCATCATGGTGGTGGTCACAAGCGTCGGATACGCATGGTGGACTTCATGCGGACAGACCCCGGGCCCCATCTCGTGGAGCGGATTGAGTATGACCCAGGTCGTAGCGCACACATTGCTCTGGTTCGGAGCAAGGAGACCACCAAGTTGAGCTATATTCTTGCGGCGGATGGTATGCGGGCTGGCGACGTTGTACAGAGCTACATGTCTGGTATTCCCGAGGACTTGTGGAAGAGCATGGGCGGAACCGTTGATCCCGGTGTGCTGGCCGCCAGAACTGCCTGGCGGGGCAACTGCCTGCCTCTGCATATGATTCCGGTCGGCACCCTCATCTTCAATGTCGGCCTGCGACCCGGGAAGGGCGCCCAGCTGTGCCGAAGTGCAGGCACACATGCTACCGTGGTGGCGAAGGGTAGTGACTCTCGCCAGCAGGAGATCGAGTCCGATCAGCCTGAAGAAGAGAAGAAGCCTTTGACTCTCCGCGAGAAGCAGAAGCAGGAGCGCCTGGCCCAACATATCACCGTCCGCTTGTCCAGCGGTGAGACTCGCCTCATCCACAAGGATTGCTGTGCTACTATTGGCGTTGCCAGCAACCCCAACTACCACTACACCCAGCTGGGTAAGGCTGGCCGCTCGCGCTGGCTCAACATCCGTCCTACCGTCCGTGGTCTAGCCATGAACGCCATGGACCACCCTCACGGTGGTGGTCGTGGTAAGTCCAAGGGTAACGTTGACCCGAAGAGTCCTTGGGGTATTCCGGTAAGCTTCTTTCGCCTCCGTTGCATCTTTGGTTACGATTCAATTGCTAACTCGTAATTTTTCTCAATGTACTAGACCAAGTCCGGCTACAAGACCCGTCCCAAGTGGAAGATCAACAAGGCTGTCGTGCACCCGAGACCTCGCAACCAAGGCCAGCGTCGCCGCGGATACAATTAGACGGTCTTTTCCATGGGCTAGCTGGGTTTTGGGAGAGACGGGAACGTGCCCCCTCTCCCTACTTTGCTCTCCCAGATAAAAAGCCCATTTCTCTCATCTTTTACCTCTTTCTCACTGCACATGGGATGGCTGTACGATATTTTCTTTCATCTTGTTTCGTTGCTGTGTATTCTTGATTCTGCCGTGCATTTATAATGGGGATCCTGTTTCTATCATCAGTTGGAGCTTGGGGCCGCAGGGGGCTATGTATAGTATGAGGCCCGCGGCTCTTCGCACAGAAATACAAAATTTTCAAGGAGATTGTTCAATCAGAAAAAAATAGTCTGGCACCCTTCCCAGTCGAGGATGCTTCGCACATTGGTTGCGCCTATCAATGGGCTTCTTTTTGATTACGTTGTGATAAGAGAACGATCGACACTATGAGAGCCCGCCCGATCCCTGCCAAGCCCGCCAGGCAGCGTCGTGGTGCGTACGCTCACCCCCAGTCACACTAACAGTCGATCGCCAGGTGTCCGTCCCTTCATGGGCCATGGAAATTGGATGGCTTATCCATAGTCTTCTTTCGAAGCTGGTCGAATTCCCCGATAAAAGGGGATCTGAGTGTTTAATTGAAAAAGACGTGCACTGTAAGAGTCCGGGCCGAGACTCCCTAAGACACAGCCTTCTCCCCCAATACGAAAGCCGAAAGCGTGCCACCGTCATCCATAAGAACTCTCCTCTGCTGCTTATCCCCACCCACCAGAGATTATCAGTCTGATAATGAACTTTGCCTGGACTTGACCTCTTGGCCCGGTAGCACGCCCTCCTTTCTATTCCCCTCTTTGCTGTGCAGGAGTCGCCCGCCCTGCGGTGATAAGCGGTGGGCTGTCAATCTCGTCATCGGTCGGAATTCTATCTTCGCTCATCCTCCCCGCTGGCGATTCGGCCTGCCATGGAGAACCTTTCGCCCTCCGCGTTTGCGCCGGGCGCTTCGCAGTACAACGCTGCCCCCGAACCTTCTTTTCAAGACTCGTCAGTCGCAGATGATCACCATTTGGCGGACGGCGCGGTTGCTGGAGATAGCAACTACGTTCCTCGTCCGAAGCGCATTGCATGCGTGGTTTGCCGCCGGAGGAAGCTCAGATGTGATGGGAAACGGCCAAGTTGTGGAACATGCTCTCGCTTGGGTCATGAATGCGCATACGACGAAGTGCGCAAGAAGAGTGGTCCAAAGCGGGGATACGTGAAGCAGTTGGAAGCGCGCCTGGGTACGAATCGCCTCACTTAAGCACTGTCGTGTATTCTGTGATAAAACAATGTCAAAAACACCACTGACCACTATCTCCCGTATAGCTCAAGTCGAAACCCTTCTCAAAGGCCAGGAGACTGATCCTGCACCGCGCACCTCCCCACCTCAACCGATCGAGACTTCATTCAACGCGCCTATCAACGATGACTCGATACTCGGTCTACCAGACATCTCGGGTATTGGAAATGACATTGGTGGTACGATGCCTCCATCTGCAGCTGGACTCGGGCCATCGCAACCGAATCCGATGATGTTCACAGGACCAACGGCTGCCTCCAACGATTCGTCCTGGGACTTGATTAGCTTGGGACTGGAGGAGCCTCTGCCGGCCCAGGATGTCATTGAAGAATTGTGAGTGAGCAGTTCCAGGAAGACGACAATTTTTTGCTTACCCCGTATACCATCAGGGACAACCTATTCTTTGAGAAAATCTATCCCATGATGCCCATCATCCACCGCCCTCGTTACTATGCCAGCCTAAACCTCGCTCCTCACATGCGCCCACCTATCTGCCTGCGGTACATCATGTGGTGTCATGCAGCATCCGTGAGCGACAAGTATTACTTCTTGCACAATCACTTCTATCAACGCGCTCGTAAGTATGCGGAAATGGACGAGATGAAAGGCTTTGGAGAGAATATAATCAGCTTGGCGCATTGCCAAATGTGGATTCTCACGGGCTCTTATGAATTCCGAATGATCTACTTCCCTCGAGCATGGCTCAGCGTCGGCAAAGCGACTAGATTGGCACTAATGATGGGTCTTCATCGCTTGGATGGCAATGGGCTCGATGTCAAACAGTCCATCATGCCACCCAAAGATTGGACTGAGCGAGAAGAACGTCGGAGGACCTTTTGGATGGCCTTCTGCACTGACCGCTATGCCAGTATTGGAACTGGCTGGCCGATGGTCATTGATGAGAACGATGTAAGTTATCCATTGGGTCCGATTCGTGTTGATCGTGGGTGGTCATGGCTAACTGTCTTAGATTATGACCAACCTCCCGGCTTCTGAAGAATCTTTCCTAAAAAGCAAGCCACAGCGTACGCTTCGCTTATCTGATATCATTGCTGGCGAAGGTGTATCTACGCTGGCCCCCTTTGCCTGTGTTTGTGTCTTGGCCGACTTGTTTGGTCGAAATCTTGTTCATATTCATCGACCTCAGCCACAGGATAATGATCATGATCTCAATGGCGAGTTTTGGAAACGTCACCGGAGTCATGATAACATTCTCCTTCACATCGCACTTTCATTACCCGAGCACCTTCGACTTCCAAGTGGCATGGATGACGTCAATGTCATCTTTGCCAACATGAGTATTCATACATCTACCATCTGTCTTCACCAAGCGGCAATTTTCAAGGCTGAGAAGAACAAGATGCCAAACCAAATCATTACCGAGAGCAAACGCAGGTGCCTCGTGGCAGCGAATCAAATCTCGAGCATTATGAAGATGATCAGCCACATGGACCTGTCAAGCGTATGTCTGCCTTGACCATGCACTGTTTGGGAATGGACTAGCTAACCGCTGACAGTTGAACCCTTTCATGTCATTCTGCTTGTACATCTCAGCGCGAGTATTTGTGCAATACCTCAAATCTCGCCCGGATGACTCGACAGTCTACTCCTCCTTGCAATTCGTCATCTCGGCTCTCAACGCGATTAAATCCAAAAATCCACTTACAGAGTCCTTCTTGGTGCAACTAGATGTTGATCTTGAAGGAACGGGGATCCGGGCTTTGGATAACTCCAAGTCTGGTTCCGGGCTCAGCCATGTCGCTCAAGCTCTGGTACGTCCCCTTAACCCCCTGGAACCACGCGTCTTCTTCTCCCAGACATTGAAGAGTTTCCACGGTTCTAACTCTAATGTAGCAGTCTTATTGCTCTGAAAACGTCGATTGTACGCCTTTATACAATGTTCGCCAGTCACAAGGTAATGGCGTACCAACCGAATCTCCACAAGATGGTTCGAAGCCGAGAACTTCTAATCGCACTTTTGCGCCCGGCATGACGACCTCTCTCCCCAGTCGGCACAGGGACTCACCCGTTATCGAATCTGACCGAGGGCCACTGGGCAGTGAATCGCAGCAATTTTTCCCTCATCATGTGCGAACTACGAACGGAATCATTGATGGAGATATGGATTTTTCGCCTGACTTTGGCCTTGGCGAGAGGAATCCGCCTTCCGATCATCCCACTCCATCAACTTTGAACTCCTCCTCCAACACGTCCTATTCTATGTCCGGGATTGACAATCCTTCACCCGGTAAAAAGCAGCCCAATACGACCTCGAATTATCCATCCTCAAGCTCCGCTACATCCGTCGACAAAGGCCACTCTGTTCAAATATCTCCCGTAACGACAGAGTCTTCTCAGATTCTTGATATGGGCCCTTTCGCTGGCCAGACATATCCAGCTAGCTCCGCTGGCCAGACATATCCAGCTAGCTCCGCTGGCCCTGTTGGTACTGCGGGTGCTGCCAACGTATTCAATCTGTCTAGTCGCTGGGACATGCCTACCACAGGTCAGGACTTGAGCAACCTTGACTTCGAAAATATCAACGCGGAGGCATTCAGTGATGTCCAGTGGGCTCAAATCTTGAATACTGAAAATGGACCCGGATGGGAGAACTGGCGATCATCTTGAGAATCGACGAGAATGAATCTCGTAATCGGAACATTCTGACAACGAGATCGGTTTTTGTTTCTAGCGAACGAAGCCTCATGTGTCTACTCAACCTGCGCCGAAGCAACTCGATGTGAAAGGGGGCACCGCTTTAAGTGCGATCTTTTATCACTATCACTCTCTAAGCTGAAGGTGCAGTACTATACTCAAGGCATCGAGACCCAGCAGAGGACTGTATCTCGCCTACCCAAGCACTGAGCATGACGCCAGGGCCGCGCTAGAGACAGCACGAGTCCGAGCCGCTGTGTACCGAAAGAATGGCTTCCGTGGACGACTCTGAATCTTTCGCACCGTGTATTACTCCAAGCACGCAGGTTCACAATGGTGGGCGCACTTGAATAAGCACTTTGGATGTCTTTTGCAACGACTTAATGATAATGAACAGATACTCCTCTTCCCGAACAATTACTCTCTTCTCTGATTTGCTTTTTTGGACCATCTCCATTCAGGAAGACTATGTTGATAGTATAATCTCTACATAACACTCGAAATAGATCCGTTAACTCATTGAGATTTTCCAAAAATGGTAATTTCGGAATCGTATAGTAGCAGCAACTCCAGGGTGTTCAATTCCCGGTCCAACCCCCATGAGGCTATCCACAGACAATGGGACAGGGCTGACATCAATGACATTGAAAATTACAAACCACCACCAGCAGCGCCAACAATCTTCAGACCCCCAGAACCACTTCCTGGCCCATCATGAGTCGTCGAGTAAGCCAACCAATATCTAGAGGGATGCCACGCAACAGCGGGAACACCAACATTGACACCAGTTGTGGGTATAGTGTACACGCTCTCTCCGGTTTCTGCATGGAAAATCTCCAATCCATTTCCACCACAGAAGGGCTCATCGCAAGCACCGCAGATAAAGCGGCCATCAAAACTCCAACTCACGCCGCGAATTGAGCCGCCATTCGCACTGGAAAGTGTGCGGCGGCAAATCCAATCCGTCGTATCCCATAGAGAAATTAGGGCATCGCTACCGCCAACGGCTAGGTAGCGGCCGGTAGGAGCAAGTGAAATGGCCATACAGGCGGAGGTGTGTGCGTGGAGGGTGTGAAGGATATCGAATGAGGGGTAGGACATTATCTTGACGGTACCTTCGCCTGTCGTTGCGAAGAGGTGGAGGTCTGGGGAAGTAGGTGTTGCGACATGGTTTGAGAAGGTTGTGGCATTGGTTTGGATAGGTTGTGGGTGTGGTGTGAGAGCTGTATATGTCGAAGAGCTAGGTTTTGAGCCCCCGATAGAGGATATACCATTGGTAGCGCCGCCGTGTGATAGGATGGTAGGGGTAGACGGGGACTGAACCGATATGGGGATCAAAGTGTCGTCCTACTCCGGAAAGACAAAAAGTTAGCCAAGGCACTGGCAGAAGCATTCTAGGAAGTCTTCGCGGCTTACCTTTCTACCCACGACCATTGTACTCCCATCTGCCGACCAGGACAGTGTGAAGGCCTCGCCGCCGACATCGAGACGGCTCACGCACGTCTTTGAGCGCACGTCCCAGAAGCGCACCGTTCCGTCTGTGGAGCAGCTTGCCAATTCCGCATCCCGTACTGGATTGAAAAGAACTTTCTCCACGGCAGCCGAGTGTCCGCGAAGTTCTGTCGAGTATTTAATAGCAGGGCGTTCGGGGTTCCATATCCGTAGCGTACGATCCGCTGAGCCAGTCGCGATTAGCTGACCGGTAGGATTCCATGCTAATGTTCGGAGGCTATTCAACACCACTGTCAATAAGGAGCCTGAATTATTATAGATAAAGGACTCACGTATGTGACCCTGGGCCTTTTGAAGCTGGGTCATAGTAACTCTGGGTTTTGACACCCCCAAAGACAAATGCGAAATGTTCCTTTGCGAGGAGGTCACGGCGCGGCGCGGGCGCCATTGCTAGCAGTCCCTCTAGCGCTTGAAGCTGATCCAAGTGCTGGCGCTTTGTTTATAGTCAGCCTAATTAGGCAACGGCAGGAAACCGGAATTGAGGGTTCTCGGAGAAGGTTGCGGCTTTAGCTCATGACGTTTTGAGGGACTGTGATTCTGCCGCAGCTAAGATCGCGGCTTGGGCGGAGAGCATCTTTCTGCCTCAGGCATGAACGGTCTTGTTCGGGATGTACGATGTAAGAAACGCGTAGGTATAGAAATGAAGCCATATGACAATTAAAGGGCAGCCGAGGCCAATTGGCAAGTTTAGAAATCTTTCACAGAGTCTTACCGCCAGAGGGACAATTCTGTATTTCTGCGCGTCCTCATCTACCAACATCAATTCGCAAGTTAGTCGTCGACTAGGCCCAGGATAAGGCAGACAGCAGATATAAACATAGTTGAAGTGATACCCACACCAATTTTTTAAGAGTGTCGATAATATTTCAAAGACTCTGATGGTCATTGTTTGTCTTTCGCTGGCAAATGGTAAAATTTCTATTCAATATGCCCAAACCACTGGTGGCTGCTGCGATCCATTTGTCATGACGAAGATCTAGTCATCCTCTGTTCTTTGAGATAGTTGCCCGAGGACTTACACTAGACAGACTACTTCCTGAGTCCTGCTCCGCGGCCACTCTAGACGTCCGAACTTTTAGCGTTGCCAGTCATCGGCGCTACTAATGAATTGGTTCGACTACCTATGCAATAGTTCGGGGACTGGTTAAGACCATCTAAAATTCCTTGTCTGAGAGTTTCAAGATTGTCATGACTTCCAGGCTCCGAAAAATACCAATAGGCCGACTTCACTCCAGGTCGATTGCAGCTTTGCAACCTCGGAAGGACATTGCCCAAGTCGCTCCCCGCCGCAAAGAAAGCAACTCGGGGCGTGAGATTCGGGTTAGACTATCTTTAGAACTATCTTTAGGCATTTACTCACATCTTAGAATAATTTACTTTGACAAGGTGGATTGTCCGCTAATCCCTATGCTCTTGTTGTGGGTGTGATGCTGAGATCATTGGGGCATATCGATAAGCCCGAGCTTAATCAAACCTCAGTCTCCGCCTCGCGTTGCGCTCCACAAATTTCTTGCCGCCCAATCCCTCGTTAAATGACCATCTCTAATTTTCCACAACGATCACTAAATCTTTTTGCCCCGCAACAAAGAAGCAAATCAGAATGTTTGACTTCACAGACGACGCGTGCGGACGCGAAAAATGCTACACCACAGTCTCGCAGTTACCTAGTTTTATCGACCCGAAACAGGTGCCGAGCAAAAAGTCTCCATTCTCTGCTATTGTGAACCATCCCTTTGCGCACACAGTAAGCTTTGTTATCTCTGCAATTCAATTGTATATTTATCAGAGACTGACCAGTATTGACAGGTCGAGGTCATTCTCCCCGAAGATGTTTACACAGACATTCAGACGTCATTAGACAAGCTGAAAAAGCCTTACTCCGTTCGAGTGTTCATGTCACCCTCTGATCTCCTGGAGCATGGATTTTTCAACACGTACATAAAGACTGGTACTGTCTCTTGTCCGACGGTTCTTGTGTCAGATACTAATTGGACCTTTAGGCAACGTACTCATGATATCCGAAGGCCGAGCCGGGTCTGATAATGTGTACACCCTGCAAGAAGGTTAGCTTCCTGCCACACTTCGGGCGCCGGTAAAGTCTACTCTGGGTGTGAAAGCTGACATATCATGAACGATTAGGAATTCTCAAGATCGAGCTTGGGAGAGAAACCTTTGAGCGCACAGGCCTTACGGGAAAACCCATCCGGAGCGGTGGAAGGAAGCACGCAAAGGAGAGATTCTGTAAGCACCAAATGCCCTAATTCTACCTCATCAAAGGAAAGCTAACAGTATTGATAGTGATTGAGCTGAATCTGCGCCTTCCATCGATGTTACACGGCAAGAAAGGATTTGACAGAATCGTATGGGCCTTCAAAAATGTGTTGAATCGGTCCCTGGCTTGGCTTTTCTGCGACTTGGAGTCTTCCCCAGACCAAGGTTGGTGTTCTCTTCTACATGGTGTGTGCAAAGAGAACAAATATTTACCGAGAGAACAGAGACCACGTCGATCCAGAAACAGAGTCCTCAGATGATCGATTCTGAGATGCTGAAAACCAAGCTGGGCCAAATTTCAACACCCCCGCTGCAAGGATTGGTATTAAACGATATGTCCGAGGGAGATATGCAGGAGAGCTGCGGTGCCTTTGCTGAGTGGATTGCCATGGTCCAGCTGGGGTCACCCCGTGTATCTGCGGATGATGACGTCGACTCGTACCTGAGTCGCTACATTGTACCAGCAGATAATGGATCTCGTACCACCGATTTGATTAGCCTAAAATGGCATGGTCTGATTTCAGGAACATGGGTCCTCCAACTATTCATTTCTCTACTGTAAGTCTCATACTGCAGGCTGAAGTTTTGATGGGAAGATTCGGGTGGCATATACTAATATTGCCCTTTTGGGCGGCGGCTCTAGATCCTACACCTCCAGTTCTAGTTCTAGATCTTCATCGCCCTGGTTCGTTCTTTCCGTTTCTGCGCTGGGGAGACAGGCCGTGGACGGAAGGGACGGTTATACAATCGCAACTGCTCCCAACATCTGCCCCCCAGTGGCATCCAGCGGGGATGGAGGTGAAGTTTCCGAGTCTGGTAGCCGCAATGCGGTATGCTGGGAATTCGTTGGCGCGACTTCTATCGAGTGATGAAGGAGGACTAGTTGCCAATTTTAACCATGGCAACCTGACCATTCGTTATGCAAAATTGTGTCGGCAATAAGCTGCCCCGGCTACGATTGATTGCATTTTTACATCATGCGAAGCCATAAAACCCGGGAATTCCTCTTCTTCCCTCTTAACACATCCTCAACCCACACTCTCTCGACTATCTGACTACGAACCTTCCTTTTGCACTCGCTCCATATCTCTCGTTCTCTCGCTTCTATTCGCTCACTTTACTTTTGATTTGCTGTCTCTTGCTCTACTATTCCAAGACGAGCGAACAGCAACATGGAAACCACTCTTTCAACATTCCCCGCTGATGATATGGATCTTATGAGTCCATTCTATCCTACCCTTAGTAACATTGATCAAGCCGACACAAAAAACAATTTGTCATTATTCGCATTCGAGGATATAGAATCCGCTGCTATCTTCAAGGCATTTTGCAGCGATACCCGCCAAGAACCAGGACTCGACACTGGACTTCATCATAACAGCAACGATGCTGAAGAGCCTGCAACGGTTGCGCCACTTGAAACGCTGCTTGCGTTTGATCATAGCTCTTCTGACGGCAACACTTGCAGTCCAGTGACGACTGATACAACCTTGAAGAAACAGTCTGCTGCCATTTTAACTCCACCAACCCCTATCGACAACTCGCCCATTATCCAGTCAGCTGCCATCGCACCACCTGCACCAGCATCAGTGGATGTGAACAAACGAAACCAACATCGAGAACCGCGTGCTCCAAGCACTCCAGTCCTGATTGATATGGTAGCTCGACAGCTCCATGAAGAATGGATCGACCTGAATCATTCTTCAAGCACAACCCTTCCGGATCCTGCGCCGACTACTATGAACTATCATCCGGTGGAATATCCACCTCAAGTTCAAATGTGTCACCCAATGCATTACCTGGGACATAGGCCAAACCAATGCCCGATGGAGTTCGGTCAATTCTGTCCGCATCTTATGTTCTACCCACATATGGGGCGTCCCTTGCCCCTAACATATCCGGTTCCATCCCCAGCTCCTCGACAATCACCTGTATCGAACAAACGAACATTCGATTTTGTTGAACCGGAGATTCCCGAGAATTTCGTTGCCAACCCGGATAATCATGGTCGCTGGCAATACGACAGGAACGGCAACCGGCACTACTTGAACGCGCCAAAGACGAAGATTGCTCGTACAACGTGATTTTTTTTTGAGGGGGGGAAACAGAGTACAATTTCCTTGCTCCTTTGCTTCATACGGTGTTCACGGAGCTCGTCATTAAGATTCTGTTCTTTCATGTTACTTACTTCGGCTTGTTGTTTTTGTCTAGCCGCCTTCTTTGTATTTCTATCATGGCCCGACATACGCGGTTTTATACTAAATGAATCCTGTTGATTGTTTGTAAGAGAAGATCTAGGCAGCGCCTTCTTGTAGCTCTAGGGTACGCAGCCAGCCTCATTGGCGTAACTGGACAAGTCACATAGAGCGTATATAGCAGTATCGAGAGCCTACCGAGTCAAGTTTCTAACATGAATGCTGGTTTGATTGTATTGGAGTTTGATTGATTTGGAGTCAATCGCACCCTCACTCCTAGTCCAGCATCTCTCGACAAGTTGAGGTACCGGCTTGATATGGAGTTTAAACCTCAATTTGGCCCACCAAGACCCTCGTCTCAGCATCCTTTCCCACCCATACAGAACGCTTCCCATGAGCGAGTACCCAACTGCGATCGCTTTGGCGCCAGAAGCTGAGCTGCCGCTCCGAGATGAGGAAATTAGCGGATTTTGTGGCGCCAGAGGCGATGGACAAATCATCGAATCCCACTAGAGTGGAGACTGCAAATTGATAACCAGGATACTTGGAGCCAGCGTTCTCTGGCGGACCAATGTAAAGCTGGGGGATTTCCGCACCAGGTCGAGAACCAGTGTTTGTGATGTGAACAGAGATCTGGAAGGTGGAACCTGATTTCTTTTGGATACTTAGGTTGCTGTACTTGAACGAAGTGTATGATAGCCTATACCCAAATGGAAAGAGAACGCTGGTATTCGTACTCAGATACTATCGAAAAGCTGAGTTGATGCCTTCCGAGAAAATTGCTGTTCTATTCTTAGTAGATATGCGTTCCGGATACTTCGAGTTTCTCATAATAGTATCATTGACAGATTGCGGATAAGGGTTCGTTAGTTTGCCTTGTGGATTGTGGTCACCGAATAGAAGTGAAGTAGTAGCACGACCACCTTCTTGGCCAGGATTCCCCATCTATAGCACTAACGAGACTTGATCGAGCCACGGCATTAGTACTGGATTAGCGTTATTAAGGACCACGACTGTCTTCGGATTAATCGTAGTAATTCGCGAAATGAGCTCGTCGAATCCATGGTTAAGCTGCATTCTCTTATCTGTAGGACTGTTGCTATGTGCGAAAACAATCGGCACTTCGACGTTGGATGCAATCTTCTCTGCCTCGCGAATGTTCTGCTCTCGCTGGGTTGGCGTAACCTAATTTAGGCGAACTTCTATCGGGTCTCTAAATACCTTGGTGACACTCACAGTGATGTTATGAAGGCCAGCAGTGAGCTAGACGTCTGTTCTGACTTCATCCCAGCCATCTAGAGCGGGAAGGGGTGAGCTCCATGGCCGGGCTCCACCGTTTGACAAAAGTCGATAACCGTCAAACGCGGTTCTATTGACGGTAAATGAATGAATAGTCTCCACATCCACGTAGTCCGAATTGTTTAGTCCTCCATCTACGTGAGGGAACCGCCGATGCATAGAGATACGGTAGTAACCAGTCTCATCCGCTTTGAGGAATCTGGCATAATTGTAAGAAGTATTACCCGGCAAGGCTGAATCCCTAGAGAAGTTGATCTGGGGGTCGACCGAAGTTTCGCCCGATGAGTTCGTTCGGACTAAGCCTTGCTGGCCATTCTCTTGTAGTAGATAACCGGCAGGAATTGTGCTTCTATGAATATTAACTCTATCTGATGTGAGAATGTGATCGTTTCCCGTAATGTCCTGAATGGTATCTAGAGAACTTTTTAATCGTGAAGGAATTCCGTATGCTTGCTCGGCAAAACCTGCGCCGTGGTTATCCTGGAAGGCAGCTGGGCTAATTATAGCAAGCTCGGCGATGTTCTTGGAAAGAGGGAGTAGTCCGTTATTGTTCTTTAGGAGAACTCCGGATCGGCATGCGATATTATATGAAATTACAGCTGACTGCTTAATCACTGTTTGTGGCAGAGGATTAGGCACTATGTCGAGCGCAGTGCGATTCTGGCCGATCAACCCGAATCTGTCGTATGTAGAAAGGATTCGATGAAGGGCACGGTCAACATAGGCCTCTGATAGATTACGATGAATATAAATATCGTCATATAGGGGGTCAGCGTAATAGATTTGGAATCCTATCTCCTAATCTAAGCTAGCCTCGATACTCGGAGCTGTTAAGTGTGTGGCGCCCCGGTCACTCATAATAATGCCTTTGAACCCATAATCCCCACGTACGGTGTAGTTCATGAGTTCTTGGTGCTGACATGATGGCACTCTATTGACTTGAGTATACGAGCACATCATGGTGGCTACCCCCGCGTCTACTAAAGCCCCGTGAGGTTGCTAGTATATTCGTGGAGTACCTGTAGGTCTACTTGCGAGTTGGTATTAGTAGCACTGGCACTACTGCTAGTTGGACCTATCTGCTTGGTATTCGCTATTGTTCCCTCCGCCTGGATGCCCCGAACAGCTTCGACTCCGAGCTGGGTATTTAAGTAAGTATCCTCTGAATAAGCCTGCCACGAGCTTCCGTCAAAAGGATCACGGAGGAGATTAACACGAGGAGCAAGAGTAATACCTTCTAGATTGTCAGTCCCGGGAATTTATTCAGCTATTCGGGGGCTTTACCTACCGGCTTTGAGTAGTCGGGCCTCTAGGCCAGTGACATGGCCCGCGGCCTTAGCCATTGATCTCGACTAGGTTGCGGCGACATTAATCTGGCTTGGAATAGTAGTGGTATCACGGACACCATTGATTCCACTGTTTTTTGTTCTCGTCAATAACGATCAACAACGATAGAGAGAAAAGGAAAACTTACGACTATCCATCGGCAATCTGGAGGGAAATGATCCCAAGTCGGGGAATCCCATTCACATAGGCAGCATAATTCTCGCTTCCTGCATAATTGGCTCCGTGTAGAAGGGAAATCTTCTCCTCGGGTGTCAGGGCTGCGATGATCCCATCGGTCTTGCCACTATCCTCAGGCCATCCCCCTGTATTGATGCTTGCGTGCACTCTCACACCAGCTGTCAGCACCAGGGAGAGGGGTAATACTGCGAAATCAACGAGCCACATAGTGTTCTGCGTGAAGAGGTAAAATAATCGGTCTCGCGTTCATGAGCACAGTACCGAGCCGTCCATCTTATTATATAGCGGTCCTACTATAACTACCGCACAGTATCATACTTAGCGCATATCAACCTAACCGGAAAGAATAACCAGCATCAAAGACGGCATTTCCGAGTGTTCTACAAGGGTATACCTGACCTAAGATCGCAATATCCAGAGTCGTCTTACATAGGGTCCCACCTCCCCGTCCCTCAGATTCTAGAAAAGTCTCGGGTTTAAAGGTGGCGGAGAGATACTTCGGGCCGAATGAGGAAATCGCTCCGTGTGAGGTTTCTTCGCATCGGAAATCAGAATGCCGAGGATTCGGCATTGTAAGATGTTCAAAGCTCCTGCGCCTATACTCTTCGGGAGCAGGGGCTTGTTTGCACAAGCACTTAGGCAAGACGTAGAAGCCCTAGCACTACTTAGGTAATCGCTCGCCCGTCCCTAAGTCTTGCCATGATTGCGAAGACTGGCAGTGATTGATGTATAAATCAGTCAACGATTATCTGAAGGTGCTCACTGCGATAAGGACTTACTTTGATTCAGTGGCAAGAATGAAGAACAGATATCCAAGGCGTCGACCATCGCGTTTGTTGCTTTGCTTCCAGATCGTGCCTTGGAGATTTGGGAGGTAGACATGCTCATGTAGGTCACTACTCTAGCTGACCGTGTTTGAGATGTCTCTTTGCCTTAGGGAAAGGATTAAACCTTTGTTACTGGTGTTCCTCTGATCCCTCTACTCTGTCCGGTCCCATCCCCCTTTCAATTGTTATCCCCGAGTGTGGATCTGGCACCTATTGTAGATAGGATGGATCCACCCTCTAGATAGGGCCAAAGCGCGCTAAGCCTCTTTAGGAATCTATTCTCGAACTCAGCTTCTGAATTGGGTTTAGCGTATTATATTTAAACCCGAATACACAGTCAGATTTCGCCATTCTAATAAATATGTTCCCACTAAAGTCGCATACCACACTAATTGCGTGATTAAGACGGCTTCTATAATGATTGCAGAGCGAGATAGAATTAGATGGAAGCTATAGTAAGTTAATAACAGAGGCTGTCTACTAGATATCTTATTATACTCTTCTTTTAAGATACTAGTCTACGGGATATCTAGAAAATATCTTGTTATACTCTTCTCTAAATATAATAATCTTAGGAATATCTAGTAGATATCCTATAGATATATATTTACTCTAGCTTCTGCTTTTATAGTCTATTAATTATCTATAAGATATCTACAAGATACCTATTAGACTTTACTTCATCTAAGGAGAAACTGTTAAGCGTAGGAGAGTTACAGAGGAAGGAAAGTTACAAATGGGGCTGTATGGCAAATTATTTAGAGTGGGTCCGCCAGAATTGGATGCTAAACCCAATTAGGCTTAACCGATACCCATTCACGACGGTGGATCATTTCTATCTAGGACTCAACTATTTCCTGCATATTGGCCTACATTCAAAAATTGCACAAGATTTAAGGTCTTCACCAACAACCTTTAGCAAATTCTATTCACATAGGAACTTTGAGTTACACACACCTAACAATCAAAAAACATGGAGAATTGAGCCTGTACCCAAATATCCACCAAACAGTATACAAGACGATATTTACCATCCACGCTATGTGCAAAACCGTAAGAGAAATGGAAGACAAGTAGTGAAAGGTAGAACCGACACCACTGTCGGTGTTAACCAGCAATGTCATTCACCAGGTCTTTAAGAATGGGTCTATTGCCCACCACAGAATTGCCATTGAATAGCTTCACGCCCCGCTTTGCAGGTCTCTTCAGGCCCGACGAAGGTTGTCGAGAGCCCAGGGGGCTTAGAGGCTCTCGTGATGCTGGTTTTTCCTTAACATCGGGACTTATCTTGATTTTCGAGGATTCAGGACTCCGAGCCACATTCGGAGATTGAAATGGCATCTGGGTGGCATCAAGGGCAGCGGATTGGAAAACATGGCTGTCGGCTGCGCCAGGAGGGAGGTCGTACACCCAGCCCTTGCCCTCGACCAGACGGACGTATTTG